CTGGTGAGTGTTCATTTTTACAGGTTATGACTGCTGGAGTTTGAGCCCTAAGGGCCTAGCTCCTTTCAAAATATAGCACCCTGAGTGAGGGATATCTTGCACTGAATCAACAGTCCCCTCTCTCTCCTTCAAATGCCACCAGCTGAGTTGACAAAGAAAGTTGCAGAAAGTAATTAGCATGCATTCAGCTCTCACATCGGAATGGCATAGCTTTGTCGGGTATTTAGATTCATTTGAACTAGCTTATACCTAATTTTCTATAACCTGATGAGTATTATAATTAAGTGCATAAAATTTTGTGCAGTGCTTCTGAAGATGCAAATGTCATTAAATTTTGAAATAAAATTCACAGGAATATTCCTGTTTTATACTTTCAAAGGTATGTTATGTAACAATTGTTTGTAGAATGTTGAAAGTGGCATATTCATATACACAAGTTTCATTTCTTTTAAATATATTTTGTTGAAGAAACTGCATAGCAACTTTCCCTGAGAATTATATCATTAAATCTTCTAAACTGTTTACATTTAGAAAAATCTACCACTGTGTAGGGATTTAGGTAATGCATAACATAGTGAAATATATAAATTCAAATTGAACAATTCTTCCATACGGAAGGGTCTGTGTAGTGGATGAAGATTATCTTGTAAATGTAAAAGAGAAAGACTATTAATGGAGAATGCAGAAGAGGGGCAGCTACACTGTTTCATGAGAACCACCATACCTGTTGATTAATGGAGAGGCCTTAACAGCACTCTTCTTCCATGCGTCTTGCCATGAGGAAAGGGGAGGAAGGGAAAGGTAGTGATGGCAGCAACACCTGGGGAAGGGAGATGGGGAAATATGTAAAGGGAAAATCAGCAGCCCCCTACACAATGGTGTCCATCCTCAGACCTCGCCAATAAAATAACTTCCGAAAACCCTGAGCTTGTTTTCTTTCTTCTTTTTTTAAAATCTATATAAATTTCAAAGACAATCTAAACAAATTCCTATTTTGAAATGTGTTACTTTGAACAGTCTTACTACTATAATTCTCCAAGTCCAGGGACCCAGCTGGCTGCTACAAATGAACCACCACCTTAATCTCACTTTTTAACTAGGCAGGACATTCATATATGATCATAACATTTTAACACCAGAAAAAGCTGTAAGGTGATCCTAATACCAAATAGATATGTATTTTCTTTCTAACATACAGTAGGATTATTATCTCATTCTGCCTCTACCCAGCTGTTATATAACTGTCTCACAATGCATCTTCCTTTTCATGTTCTTCTAAGGATATGTAGTTTTGACATGAAAACCACTTCAACTTATTAACCTAATAAAAACAATTAAATTTAACAGAATCCCTATATACTGGAGGAGGTCAAAGGAATAAATGTTTAAAAAATTGTTTTAATTATACTTTTTAGACGTGTTTTAATCTGGACTATACGTACTTTTGAAAAGCATAAATATACAGAATTTTATAAAAATGTTTACCAAACAGTTGATGGGGGTAAACTATTTGAATTTTATTTTATTTATTTATTTATTTTTTGAGACGGAGTTTCACTGTTGTTACCCAGGCTGGAGTGCAATGGCGCGATCTCGGCTCACCGCAACCTCCGCCTCCCGGGTTCAGGCAATTCTCCTGCCTCAACCTCCTGAGTAGCTGGGATTACAGGCACGCGCTACCATGCCCAGCTAATGTTTTTTTTTTTTTTTGTATTTTTAGTAGAGACGGGGTTTCACCATGTTGACCAGGGTGGTCTCGATCTCTTGACCTCGTGATCCACCCACCTTGGCCTCCCAAAGTGCTGGGATTACAGGCTTGAGCCACCGCGCCCGGCTATTTGAATTTTAATAGAGATTAGTTGTTTTAATAACCTGTGCAATAATACCACTGTAAAACAAACACTGGTACATTGTTTTCTCTTAGAATTAATTTATTTTAAAAGAAATATTTAACTTTGTATGTTTATATTTAAATGCAAATAATATACAAAAATGCTTTTCTTAAACTATTTAGAAAAGTTTTTATATACAGTGAAGATAAACTTGCAAAAATAGATGTGTATTTTATGAAGAAAATAAGTAATGTAAAAAAATAAAAATATAGGAGAGAACTAGTTTTCCTGTGTGTGACTTCTCACACAAATATGTTTCTTAGTGTATTCGATACAGAAGGGCTAGGACATTGATGAATTTCTCTCTAAAAACAAGGCTATTCATTAATACATGTTAGCATTCTTGTTTCTAAATGCGAATCTAACCTTTAATCCCAATGTTTGGGAAAGCAGTTATCACAAGGATCATAGGAGTTTGGAAAACAATAATCCTTTTCCTTTAGCCTTAATCTTATTTAGACAGGGTGTCTCCAAATTTCCCAGTGTTTCAACTCTTCTTATCTTTGACATACTGCTTACAATTAGCCAGCATATCTAGTTAAAATAACATGACCCACCTAAGGCTTAGGCAATAGTATTAGTCAGCCCTTGAGTTGAGAAATTTGTAAACTTTTCGGTTACCGTAAGAGATTAACATCAGAGAACTCTGAAGGCATAAGTAGTGTCTAGGCCCTCCGATTTAAAAGAAACAACTCGATGTAGCAAACATAATTTTTAACTGATGTTATTGAACATACACTTTTTGCACCATTGCTTGGGATCCTATAAATTTCTATAATTTTGTATTTAACTTAAAATAATAATTGATATTACATGTAATATTTTAAAGTTTGAATCCCCCTTCAAACTTAAAACCTCTATATTTCAGTAGGATAAAATCGAAAAAATTAAACCTAATTTTTTGTACATTTAAATATTCTTCAGTGATTATTTTGGGATCAGAATTTGTCTTTGGAAGAAGCAAATGTGGGAAACTCATAAGCCAAAAACCAAAAAGGAGAAGAATCCACATGCTCTTAATTTGTGGCCAGATCTTGCATATAGCATGAAATACAGCATTTTTATTTTTGCATACGAGTCCCTAATACACTAAGACTTTATGTGTAGAAATTATTCCTTAGGCTTTAAGAAGGGTAGATTATTATGGGATAATATATTTATAAATTAGCACTGCACTGGGAGAGATTAAAAGTAATAAAAGCTATACTTATGAGAAACTATAAAAAGTAAATATATACACATAAAACAGAAAAACTCTGATAATTTATCAAGATGTAATAAGCAATATAAAAGGATTTTATAAATAGCAGAGTTTACAAATAACCAAAACAACGTAGAAGGGTAACTCAAAAAAAAATAAACTGGAATCTTAAAGCATCAAATAAACCAGGAATAGAAAGTTAAGCACCACATGTTCTCACTCACACGTAGAAGCTAAACAGATTTGATGTCATGGAAGTAAAAAGGAGAATAGAGGATATTAGAGGTTGGGAAAGGTAGGCAGAGGAAGGGATAGGGAAAAATTGTTATAGGATGCAAAATTATAGCTAGATAGGAGGAAAAGGTTCTAGTGTTCTCTACTATTGCAGAACGGCTACAGATAGCAATATTACATTATATAGTTTCACATAGCTAGAAGAAGGACATTGATTGTTCCCAACACAAAGAAATGATAAATATTTGAAATGATGGACACATGCTAATTACGCTGATGTGATCACTATATATTATATGCATTAAAACATTGCTAGGTAACCCTTAAATTATTACACAACAAGAAATAAAATAATTGATACAGTAGAGAACTGAAATTTCTGGATTGTTTGCACTAACTGTGGCCTGAAAGAAATATAAATTTTATGCATCTGAAAGGTAGAGACCAGGATAATAAAAGAATCCCTCATCTCCATGAGGTATTTGGTAGGAATCTGGTATGGACAATGATATGAGCTAGGTTTTCACCTGGTAACAGTAACAAAAGGAAAATTAGCCTTATAATTCGTAAAAATAAGTAGATGGAGAGACAGTTTGAGATTGTTATTAAGTACATTGGTGAGAAAGAGTTTGTAGTAAGTTTCTTTTCCCAAAATGGCAGAAATTATCTGTCACAAAGATGAATCAATATGAATTACACGGAAAATACTGTTGGTCTGACCACTCTAGAGTCTGCCTCTTCTAGTTTCTGTTCTTGGGAAAAATGTATGATCGTGGTAGAAGGACACATGGTAGACTAATACACAAGGCCGTGGGACTTAATAAAATAAGTGTAAAGAGCACATGCAACTGTAAGCAGAGCAGGCATTGGTTAATGTTCTCAGTGAAGGTGTTCTTTTTTTTTCTTTATTTGTACTTTAGATTCTGTGGTACATGTGGAGATCATGCAGGATTGTTGCATAGGTACATACATGGCAAGGTGGTTTGCTGCCTTCCTCCCCTCATCACCTACATCTGGTATTTCTCTCCATGTGATCACTCCCCACCCTCCCCACCCTCTGCTGTCCCTCCCCTAGCCCCGTCCAACTGACTGAAGTGTGAGATGCTCCTCTCCCTGTGTCCAGGTGTTCTCATTGTTTAACACTTGCCTATGAGTGACACCATGCAGTGTTTGATTATCTGTTCTTGTGTCAGTTTGCTGAGAATGATGGTTTCCAGATTCATCCATGTCCCTATGAAAGACATGAATTCATCGTGTTTTATGGCTGCGTAGTATTCCATGGTGTATATGTGCCACATTTTCTTTATCCAGTCTATTGTTGATGGACATTTGGTGTTCTTTAGCTGGGGTAAAAGAATAAGGGCTAAGGCCAAGTGCGATGGCTCACCCCTGTAATTCCAACACTTTGGGAGACCAAAGCGGGCAGATCATCTGAGGTCAGGAGACTGAGAACAGTCTGGCCAACATGGCAAAACCATGTCTCTACTGAAAGTACAAAAAAATTAGCCAATGGTGGTGGTGTATGTCTGTAATCCCAGCTACCCGGGAGGCTGAGGCAGGAGTATCACTTGAACCCAGGAGGCAGAGGTTGCAGTGAGCAGAGATCGAGCCATTGCACTATAGCCTGGGCAACAGAGTGGGACTCTGTCTCAAAAAAAAAAAAAAAAAAAAAAAGGTGCTAAATACTGAGGTGGTTAGGGATTAAAAGCAAAGTTGTAAGAGGAGTAAATGTTATTCACAGGAAAGAGACTCTTTTTCACAGACTGGATAGGATATGTATAAAAGAATGACAGCATAAAAGAATTGCTGTAGAAAAAAGAAAAGTTTGTGGAAAGAGAAGTCAAAATATCCTAAGGCAGTGTGGAGGGAGGGTGGTGGGTGAGAAATGGAGAGTCAGCGAAGTTTGTCCAAACAGGGTGGATCTTGTGGTGGAAAAAACAATAGATGGTGGAAAAAACAACAGAACACATCCTTGATAGGTAGGAGAGACACATTAAACATTAATATATCATATGTTAATATATTACAGGAAGTTTAGTTAGGCACTGGACCCCAGTTCTGTGCTTACGTCCGTAAACACTTATCAAAACCTGGTGTGTCTGGTGTAAGGATATACAAGAAAAGATTATTACCCTGCTGCAGCAACATTCCCGATAACTGTATTGTTTTCCTTATCCTATCAGTAAGGTCTGTCTTAAAAGTAAATTTTCTCTAACAATTGGAAAAATCAGAGATTTTCATTCTGGGTCCGACTCTCAGACTTTCCCACAGTCTGTCGCATTGAGACTCTGGGCTTCTGCGACCATGGACAGTCTGGTATCCTCCTCAGGGGTGGCCATGTTTTAGGCAGAGACTTTTCAGATTTTCTTTAATCCTGCTTCTTCCTAATAGTGGCTGAATAATCATCAAAAGGGGCATTTTAGTCATCGCAATGTCCTTGTTATAGGCATTGCTGGAGTGTGGAGGGGTGAGCTTCATTGATGGCACTAACTGTGGCCTGATGGAATTAAAATCAGCTTTGGGTGGCAGCAGAAGTGGCAACATGGAGAGAAGGAATCTGGAAACCTTTGCAAAGGAGGAATGTCACATGTTTTCACGGGAATCAAAAAACTTCATATATGCTAGTGACTAATCCCCTTTAAACTGAAGAACAAACAGTATTTTCAAATTACAAAATACGTAATCATATAAACCCTGGGTGATATTATCAGTCAGGACATAAATGAGACAACATAAAAAAAAATAAAGAATATACTCGTTTTAAAAATAAATCATTGTGTAGGCATTACCTGAAGCTTTTTATTTTAAAACTTATTAAGAATTATAACTGAGTTAGGATAAAAGAATAGTTAATTATGAATCCTATATTTATCTCTTTTTTATTAAGCATTAATAGTGTTTCTGGTATTCTTGAGATTTAAATGCATAAGTTGCATAGCTTAATGGCAGTAAAAATCAGCTGAGTAAAACTGAAATTTTAAAAGTGTTTAAAATTACCAGCTTTAATAAACAATTGTACAATGAAGAAATTTGTAAATAAGAGTTAAAAATTAGTTGTAAATCTAAGCTATGAAATATATTACAATTGAATTTGAGATAACATACATGCGCACACATATTTGAAAAGTTGATGTATTAATAGTAGGATATCAGGTTTAAAATTTTGTAATAGAGTAAATATTTTTCTTTTTAACTGAAGATGCTCATTAATCTTATTTAATATTACACACTTCTTTTCAAAAATTAATTTTCATGACAATTAGAATGTTGCTGTCTATAACTCTGGAGCTGAGATATATTTTTCTTAGGTGTAGATTTTATTAAAACTTCAAGATTTAGTTGCAATAAAAAACATTGTAAAACCCTCTTGGCAAATCTGTAATATTTTGCTTAATAGATTTCAAATTTCTAAATTTCACAAGCATGCTCCCTAAAAATCTCACAATGTATTAACCTAATAGCATGACCCACTATGTCCTTTATCATAAAAGCTAATAACCTACCTGGATACCTAGTTAACTGTTGATTAATGTATTGAGTAATATTTGCTTACAATTTAATTTTAACTAATACATGATTTTACACAACGGAAATAATAAATATTCTAAATTTACTTTTATTCTAAAGAATATATTTTTAATAGGAGATTTGCTTATTATCTTCCTGACTTATAGTTGTTTGTTAGAGTAAGTTTATAAAATAACAGAAAGTCTAAGTCGTCACTAGAACATCTATAGACTCCCCCACTGGATTGGTTTATTAGGGTGACTATTCGGCTTTGTTAATCAAATAGTTAATGGGTGCTACAGGTTGGTTTAGTCAGTGGTCCTATGTCCTTTGGTTTTCAAGCCTCCTTTACACTTTAAAAATTATAGAGGACCTTAAAGAGCTTTTGCTTATGTGGAGTATGTTTGTTGATATTCATCATATTCAAAATTAAAATAAACACATTTTTAAAATAATCAGTTATAGATATGTTTGAACATAGTCACAATAAATTCATTATATTCTGACATAAATAATACATTTTAATAGAAAATTACCATATTTTAAAAAGCGAGAAGAATGACATAGTTCCACTTTTTTTTTTTTTTTTTTTTTTTGGCCTATCTCTTGAATAATTACCTTACCAGAGGAGAGCTGTATTATCCTCTCTGGTCTGAATTCAATGCGTTGCACTGACACAGGGCATGTCACCTCAGGAAAATTCAGTTGTGCACTTGTGAGAGAATGAGAGTCGAAAGAGTAAATGATATCCTAATATTATCACGAAATGATTTTGAGTCCAGTTTTGAGATCGCTTGGCCTTGAGAACTGCCAGCTTAAGTTCCTTCAATACTGAGAGGAATTAAAATAATAATAATAACAATCCTGCCCTCACAGAGGCCACACTGGAGCAAGAGGACTGAGACATACTTTTTTAAGACCCTAATATGTCATATGCTACTACCAAGATGTGATTTGCAAAGAGCTATGGAAGAGATAGGAAGGAACTTCACAAAAAGAGACAAAATTTGCAGTAAAGTTTAAAGCAATGGTGTCCAATCTTTTGGCTTCGCTGGGCCACATTGGAAGAAAACTTGTCTTGGGCCACACATAAAATACGCTAACAGACAGCTGATGAGCCATAAAAAAAAATAGCAAAAAATCTCACAGTGTTTTGAGAAAGTTTACAAATTTGTGTTGAACAGCAATCAAAGTCGTCCTGGGCCACAGGTTGGTCAAGTTTTGTTTAAAGTAAGAGTTGGCCTGCAGTGAAGAGATGCAAGTGACAGAGGTTAAGACCATTCTGATGAAAGAAAGGCATAGCTAGATACAGCACGATGCAATGGGAAGAACATGGTTTGGTTTGGTTTGGTTTTTTTCACTTGACAGCTTTTGTTCAAATTGCATTTCAGCCACTCACTGGCTTCGTGACTAAGTGAGTCACTTAAATTCTGTAATCCGTAGTTTGCTCACTAGTGAAATAATGAAACCCACATAATAAAAATGCAGTGAGAATTAAGTGAGATGAAATATGCAAAGTATTTTCGCTTGTGACACTTAATTAGCACACCAGTAATATATTGGTTTTGTTGCATATTTAAAGAGAGTGAATTGGTTATCATGCTGAGAGCTTAGGGTGCAGTGATCTGGTGCAGAGAGGACTAAAGTTATAAACAAGAGTGGAAAGGGCAGCAATAAAGCGGAATTGATATGGAGGTTAAGATGAATGAAAGTGATTTAAAAATAGAAATATGATAATATAAAATAAACTACCTTGGGAACTCTGAGAATTTTTTCCTACGCAGACTTTAGCATACCCATAGCAAATCTTGACTTCTACCCAGTGTCACCCTATCTTCTCACAGGGAAAAAGAAAAAAAAAAACCCTATAATTTTTAAAATGTATGCCAGGATCTTCAAATAATAGAATGAAATGTGTAAAGAGTAGCATATTTAGAAAAAAAGATTTACTCAAGACAGAAATATAACCTACCTCTCCCATTGCTTAGGTAGCTTGTCAGACCTGAATCTTACACCTGTCTTTGAAATTCGATTTCAATAATATTTTTGTAATAAGGGAATTATTGAATGAATATATAAATAAATACATACTTCATTGTGTATCGCCAATGTAGTAAGAATTCAAATTCATAACTGTGATTGTCTCAACTTGGGTTACTTATAAAGTTTACTAATCAACACCAACTTATCTAGAAAATAATTTTATTAAGGGCACAGTACACAGCGAATGCTAGCACTTTTCCCCATGCTAGATATGCACCATCATCATGCCATCTTTGATCTTCAAGTTCCTGAGGGCCTCAGGTCCTTGAGGAATAGAACATTTAAAAAACCGATTTTTCAACTACAAATAAAGATTTGTCACTGACACATCTTAGTTCTGCCAATTAGGACACTGAAAGGAAGAAATTATATCTCATAGAGAAGCATGATTTTGAAATATAAAACACACTTCATCAATGCTCTATAAAGAATTTAGGATTAGCAAGTTGAATTTCTTTTTTATACAGTATGTTTTATACTAATCAATAATTTTGACTAATTTCTTTACTAACAGAATTCAATGCAGATTAAGTTATCAGTAAAGCAAGCCAAAAAAATTAAAGCACTAAAGCATGGGTAATAATGGAATTTGTTGGTAGATCCTTGACTTGAGTATTCATTTATTCATTAATTAATTCAACAGTTTAGTGAGACTCTACTATATGCAAGACTCTGTCCTAGTTTAGCTGGATATATTATGGTAAACAAGAAAACATGGTTTCCAACTTCATGTCAGCATATAGCATAAAGTCTACTAAGGTAGGATATTAAATAAATAAATAAATACAGGCCTCCACCCTAGCCAATGTATTACAAAAAAATTCTAGAAATTATTTTCAAAATAATTTTGTTTTAAAAATTACATATCATAAAATTTAAGCCAAACTTTTCACTTCATAACTTCTCACTTCCTGACCTTGTAAATACTGATAGTAAACGTTCTATCTACATAGACAGATTTTTAACTCCACCTAGCATATATATTCAGGTTTTACAAAGGATTGTCTGAATAGCTAAATTTAAATATTAAATGGTAAATTTTACCTCATTTTTTGGTCTCATGTATATGTGCATGTCTGTGAGGGCAGGTTGTGGAGTAATCAACATAGAGAGATAACTTTTATATTTCCATTTTTTATTTTATATTTTCCAACAACAGTAGAATAAAATAAAATACTCTTATTCACCCATTCATCACTGAAGCCCAGTTTGCTTACAGGTTCTTCTTTGAAATTTCTTGTCTTTACAACTTGTTACCTCTCTCCTCTGAGTATCAACTACCATATTCTAACTTTGCCAAGTCAAACAACAGTTGTCAATTCTGAGTCAATTTAGCCACATAAATGTAATAATCTGCTCACAATTGGGAAACATTCTTTTGTCAAAAATGCTTCAGTCTTGAATAAGATTAGCAGAAGCTACACAAAGCCATTTTGAGTTTACCCAAAGGAAAATGAAAACAAAATGGATGATTTCCTCCGTAAAGTAGAAATAACTCATTTTGCACTGTTATTTATAATTTTAAACTTCAAGGAATGATTATTCACAGATATGTAGAATGGAAGAAAAGTAAAACAGTCTGTTCACCCTATCTACTTGAAATACTTCACACACTGTTCTTAATGTATTATAATTTATTTTTAAAATACAAGTTGTTCTTTGACAATAAAGCATCCCAGACGCTTACTAAATTTTTTAAAAAAATATTTTCTGCTTACCACATTCATGTACAACTAAAAAGATAAGTAGCATGCTTTAAGTTGGAATTCAGTTTGTACATGAGAGTATCTTTCCAAATACTATCATTTAAATCCTATGAACTATTTGTTAACTTTGGGCAATGCTATTCCCTCAAAGCATATATCTCATTTCTTTATGTATGTATGTATTCATAATGTTTTATTTCAAGTCAAAAAAATATGGTATACTCTTGAGAAATCTAACACATGATAAAACTGCAGGAGCGAGGTACATGTGCACATGTTTTCATACTTCTGAGAAATTGCTGATTTCTTCTTATTTCAATAGCTGTCTGAATTGTTTGAGGATCATCAAACTTAATAAGTGGCATTAAGGGCCTGCTAATATGTGTGAAGGACCTGTTCCTTCTCTTCTCCACCATCTATGCTCTTTTATATCTCAGTTAAGTAATACATTTCCTGGTTGAGAGAAGGGGAAACTTGAGAATAAGCCATATGCCACAAGGATTTCATTGTAAAAACGATCGCTAAGTTTATTTTAAGAATACTGTATAAAAAGAAACTAAATCTTTGTCTATATTCTATACATAATGCACAAAGAATATTTTTCTACTATGCTAGTATATTATTTTGGTTTGCAAAAATATAATTCTATAAACTATTAAGAGGCTATAAAGTTGGGATTTTTTAAATATCAGTGAACATGTATCACTCAATGGAAGTCCATTATAAAAAAAATTCTAAAATGAGAATTTTATAAAATTAAAATTTTACTGACCAAATACACTGAATTTGTCAATAGAATTTTAATCAAAATCTGTTCAGAACGTGTGATGTTAATTTTTTTTTAAATTCAAGGCACAAGAGCAATCTACTCTTTAAAATGAAGACCAATACTTTTTAAAACCTAATTCTTGGGATATAAAGAAAAAGGCTAAATGCATTTCAATGTTACTACATTTTCAGGCTATTGGTATAACCCTGAGTTTCTTTTGCCTACCACATCATTACTCTTCAATCTGGGGTAATCATTGGTCTCAGATTCTAGGCATGTGCTCATCAACTTTGACCTACTTTTCCTCTAATTTGAATCCAGTTTAACTTCCTACTCTTAATTGACCTTCCATTTCTTGCCAATAAAATAAACAGGTAAGGAAATAAACCCAAAGCAGGCCCTGTACATGAAATGCTATCCTCTGTGGGAGAGCGAGTACTTCTAGAACAAATACTTATTGTAAGTTTTGTAAGTTTTCCTATATCAAATTTAGATTTGTAAAGCCAGGCCATGCATGATTAGAAATGCCAAAGGCATAATTCTAGAGTGATTCCTGCTTTTGAGATCTCACAGTATAACAGCATTCATTTTTGCTAGGCATTACAGGAATTTTCTCCAATGTGTGCATTAAATTCCTTTATAGAGACAGTTGTGTTTGTACAAGCCATAAATTTGACAAATCATTAGATATATAACTTCCATTCTCATATTTACATTACCAAATATTTTATGGAGCAATTTTCTTAGTCATGGCAGTGAGACTGTTCAATGATATAAGTAAATAAATAAATAAATATGATTTCAACGTAAAACCCTTAACTCTAAAGGAAAATAACTATGCTGGAGTCTCACAAGAATACAATTCACTATTAAAGAGAATTTGGTTATCAGTAGGGTCTATCTTGGATTGCATTCACGAAGGTTTATTACCAGTAGTATCAGAAGGACTTTATTATAGCAAGCAATACAGAAGCCAAGGACAGAATCATGGCTGAGTTCCAGTGCTGAGAGAAAGTGCAAGAAAAGCCTAATATGCCACAATACTGAAATGGTTATTATAAATAACAGGCACGTTTACATCGGATTACCATAAGTTTTCAACAGAAACTTAAAATACTAATTGTCAGCATCAGTCTCGGGGCATGGGGTTTCTTGTTGAGACCTGCTATTGTGCACTGGCAGTGACAGGTCTAAGTGCTCCCAGGGATTTTCGGGCTTGCATTAAAAAGCAATATCCTTTGTATGGAAAATTAGCACTTTAGGTGTAAATGACATTTCAAAATGATGAAATACTTGATCAGTCCACTGAAATAATCTTGAAACAATATTTTAAAATACTCTAATATATTTGTATATTTTTAACTTTGTGTTGTAAAAATGTAAGGACACATCTTATTCTGGAGGGCAAAAAGGCATTAGAAGGCAATTAGGAACACAACCTTAAGTTCACCTTACAGGTTTCCTCGTCAGCATTTTACTTAAAAGATTATGTTACAGTCCAGGCTGGCATGTTAAGTAATAAGAGAAAATGACCCAAATTTTAAGGTAAATGTGCTGCAAATTTTCTTGTGGCCATTTATTAAAGCTTACTTTATTATAAAAAATTATTTAAGTTTACAAGACAAAAATATCTCAATATATTAAGAGACTGTCATGTTTGCAATGTATGAAACAATTGATTTTAATTTAATAGAACATTTCCAAAATAAAATCTTTCTGAAAGTATAATTTATTACTCAAATTATTTCTAAAGGTGCTCAAACCTACTTGACCTAGCCTATCAAGACTGGTGTGTCTGGGGGTGGGTGTGTGTGTGTGTGTGTGTGTGTGTATGTATGTGTGTTCTTCCCCAGTGAGCAGTGCCAACTCTTCCTAAAGTTTGTTCATATATTTCAGAATGCATATCCAAAATATACAGTCACTGGGAAGTCAAATTCTCTACATGTTGATCCAGAAGATACAATATTTGTCCTAAAATTTGTTTAGGAATGCATATCACGTACAAGTAGATGGTTGATAAAGTCCAATCAATAAGGAGACTAGCTAAATGAAGTGCAAAAATATTAGAATGAATCCTTTAGCTCTTGGGAATCAATGGAAGTAACCTTCGTTTAGAAAGAATGTGTGTCTGAGCAATAACACGTAGCAATATTTCTCAAGCTGCTAAAATGAAAAGAGCTCAGAGGCAGACATCTCTCCATGTAGCTATATTACATTTTTTGTTCTTTTTTCCCCCTATTGCTACAATAGAATTGTCCTAACCACTTCAGAAATGCCCTGCCTTCTTGCCAGGAAGGAAATGAAAGTCTTACCACTGATAGTAAAATATATATGATAATTACAAAGGAGCAGAATTGGCAGATGGGGGCTGAAAGTTGTTAATGTTGAGGTCAATTATTAGCAAACTATGTATGCCAGCTTCTCAGTAGAGACACATAATTTTACTTAATTCAACTTTCTGCATGTGTGTTCCTAAATAGATGACATGGTTCCATGTGTCAAATAAAAATCCCATGATATCCTAATATTAGAATAAGAAATTTCCAATATTTTAAATCTTAGCTCCAGTTGAGACACTGATCCACTTTTGTAAGGTATATCCTTTCCTGACCACAAAAAGATTTAATGAGATATACTTGAGAACAAGAAAATCTGAAAATGTGTTGTGTGCATAATATATATTCCCTTTTACTTCTGTCATGCTGGAAATTTCAAAATTATTTTCCATTTTATTTTAATTTGTCACTGTATCCAAGGAAACTTCTCATTCGTAAGCAAGTCTGAGCAAGTTCAATAATTTAGATCAATTGGCAGGCATAATTAAAATAAGTATTCCCCAGGGAGGTAAGAGGAGGGATTTCGACTTGTGTTGCAGTTAAAAATATTTGTGACCAAGACTCAAAAGAGCTAAGATGTTTTCTAATTGAACTACAAATTATAAAAATTATATTATTTAAAATGGATTATCTAGCAGTTTTAAAAGTAGTGATATGGACATGGAAATACTTTCCTATATTTATCCAGCAGAGAAGAAAATTTGAAAGAAAAATCTGAGTTACATATTTAGCTAAAGTTTTTTGCTTATTTTGAAATTTCCAACATTACTGAGAGAATTAGAAGTATTAAATAAACTAACATCTTTTTACTGCTTACTTTACTGAATGGTTTGCATAATTAAAAAGTTAATTGCTTTGTTTCCACAATCTTTGGGAGTCATGGGACCAATTCCAAAATTAAGCTCTTCAGGCAATATTTTCTTATGCCTCTTCCCATTGAGTTAAGCATCTTCCCTACCATGGTAGAAGAATACAATGCAGGTGTGTGTGTGTGTGTGTGTCTGTGTGTTTTGAATGAAATACCAATGAATTACAGTTAAAAGTGGTGTAATTTTCAAGTTTAACCATAAATAAAGCATCTGGTATTGATTCTTCTTGCCTTATTTTTGGTATATTTCTTTAAGTGGCTCATGATACGGAGCCTATTATTCTGTTATTCTGAAACAGACAAACAAAAGCAACATCTCCCCCACCAAAATCTATTAGTCTCTTTCTTATTTTTGTGATGTGAATACTTGACTACCTGGGAATAATCCAAGGCATCAACATTTGTGTCAAAGCTACAATTTACAGTGAATCTTGATGATAAAATAAATATTGCTTTATGCAGAAACTGCGAAAAATGCATTGGGTTTTACAAGACGCAAACAAAAAGAGAAATTATCTGAAAGACAGGTAGAGCAAAGATTACTGCCTGCTTTGGATAATGAGGCAACAAAAGGCTAAAGGATTTGCTTAAAACTAAGCAATAAATCAGTGCCTCTATTAAATATAAAATAAAAACTAAATGTTTTTCTACTTAAATGAGTTTTTAAAATATAAATAATTATAATGGCTACAATAGGTTTTCATAAGCTCTGACTGCGATAATGCAAATATAGCTCTTTGGAGTTAATAGCAGCAGATAATAAATAATAATGTTTATCATGTATTAAACACTAAGTTATCAGGTGTTAACTACAATTTTCCATATTTTCTTTCCACTTTCATCATCTATAGAATGCTGATAATATTACCTTGCTCATAGTGATTCTATAAAGCAAATGATTATGCAGAATGCTCAAACACCAATGTACTATAAAATAATTAATTTACTAATTCAATTATTCCTTCCTCTATTTATCTTTTACTTTTACATATGTAATAAGGATATTATTTCATCATTCTGGTAAATATTTTCTGATGGATAGGTTATCCATTTTATGTTGCTCTTTTTTAGAGCTTCTTTCATTTTATGTGTATGTATAAGAGGGAGCGAATACAAACATGATTATAATTCATCTCTGACACCCTGATGACTTAGTGCCTTTAGATTACTTCAGCCTTTTACGATTGAACTGTATTATAATTGGAGTGTTTTGCACTGTGCTCCTAAAATTATCTCAAATATCCCATAAAAGTTGATTTCTACATTTATAAATTTATTTGGCTTAATTAGCAGTTTAAATGGAGATGTGAATATGGGCTATGAATTGGTGCCTAATTGGCAGATTCTATCCACACTCCGCGATCAGTGATAATCTTTACAAGGCTTTTCTCACTGCTCTGAATATTTGAGAGTTGTCTGTAATCTCAGCCTTTTTGGAACTCTGCTACTGCTCACTGAGTGATCTTTAATAATTACTTGATGAATATCTCTGTGAGTTACTGGTTTCTGTCATTTACTATTCCTTAACAATAAATCCAGGTAAATATATGCAGGTTTCTTAAAGACAGAGCCATTTAGCTTGCAGAAAATAGATGTGATACTATTAATGTTTTTTTTTTTTTTATCTATGGTTTTCATAGAATTATGTTTGTTATAAATACTGGAACTTGTTCATGGTAGTTAGAGACCCATGTACTCTTAGCCTAGAGAACTGGAAACCAATAGAGAATTCAAAAGGGGCCAAGAAATGACTTACCTTTACAGCTAAATATAAGAGAGGCCAGTGCACATTTCTGCAGGTAAGAAAATAATCACGTATTTAATAAATATTATGAACATTGCAAGTTGGAGTTAATGTAGAAAAAGACTGTTGTAGAACTAGTCACCAGAATTTTAAGGTATCTATAAATAAATGAATATAGTAAAGTAATACTTCAGCATACTTTTAATAATGCAAACTTCCAAAAACTGTATGTTCAACTGCACATAACCCTTTGAGGTAGATTGGGCAATTATTATCAAAATTATTGTTTCCATTGTATAAGTGTAGGAGATATTACATGAATTCACCCAGGTTCCCTTCCTGGAAATGTGATGGAGCTTGAATTAGAACCCCAAATATCTGACTCCAATTCTTGGCAAATGTATTATATGATAGATTGCAATACAGCAGAATTGTTACATTTAAAACGGACTATTTAAAACTGAAAATTTATGAAATAGAGTCTTCTAGAAGGTATCCCAAAAGAAAAGAGAAGCTTGGTAGTCAAAAATGACTCAAATATAATGACTTTTGGTAGAGAAACTGAATTATTTAATCCCCCAAAGGTCATAGATAAGGTATTATAAAGAAGAAAGTGTGCATGAGCTGGAAAGTTTAGGAGAGGCAAAGGAATAGATTATTAGAATGAAGAAATAAAGAAAAAATATGAAACCCAAGAGTTAATTTGTGGAACAGTCCTCTAATTCTCCTTCAGAAATGAAATGACAGAGAAACTGAGAATTTTCATTAAGGTAAAGAAGAGTCATACTTTCTCTGCTATTTTCAAAAAACTTCAGAAAAAGTTTAAGAAGCTAAATAATCAAGTCAGAAGTCCTGTACTGTGTGCTCTAAAATAAAATGTAGTTACTTAAACACACACACACACACATGGGGATCTCTAAACCGATGGACAATTGATAGAACTAATTTAATAGCTACTTGATCTTGGGGACATAGATAATACTCAGACATGGGCAGCAAAAGAAAAAGCACACAGGCATGATGCCACAAAGGACGATGAAAGCAGTCTGGGGCTGAAATAGGCAAGAATTAGATTTTTGCATCTTCATTATTCTGGGAGAAAGAGATGGGCCAATGTTGTCTAGGAAACTAGAAATGCCTCTCAAAATTGAATTCTCAAAGAACTAGTGAAGGTGAATACAGCTGATCACACTGAATAAAGGGCAGTAAGCTTACAGGGAAAAACTGATAAAATATGGGTCCCTGTGAACACTTTGCTTCCAGTCACCTATTGAAAGATGATGCATGGGTAGATTGTTTCAACCACAGTGAAGGAAAATTATAAGGATTGGGCACTAAAACTCCATTTCCTCAAGTATTCATATAATTAAAGATTGAGCTTGTGTTAGGTGAGACTTACCTGAGAATTATGAGCATTTAAATAATCATTTTTCAAACTACTTATAAATCTGGGAATTGTTTCTTACGCACACAGCTCTGAGTGTGAAGTGTCACCTACACAAGGGTAACTGCAGGTAACTGCCAGGTAAGCAACTAAAAAGTTGATAGATAATTGGTGAATGTTTAGAGAGTACAAAGACGCCTTATAGAATGGACAAGAAGCAAAGAGAAAAATGAAGTCTGGTTATATAATCATGTCTAAAGCTAATATTGAAAAAAATCCTTTCTATATTTTAAGAAAGAATATGCAAAATCCTTAATAGATGGCCCTAAAGACAAGAGAAAACAAACAAACAGTAACAACAAGCCTAAGCTTGTAAGCTATTAACATCGTGGTTAGTAGCCAGTACTGAAAGAAGCACTGAATCTAGGGAGCAAAAGCAATGTGTTTTTCAGGTGACCTCAAAGAGATTTGTTTCTGCAGGCCTCATCGTTCCTCAGTGTGTACATTAAGAAACTCCTCCTCTGATTCTACCCTCTTTAGGCAACATTTTAAGAGCTACACCGACTCTTTGGATTTCCTTAAAGAAAGGGTATTGCTTTGAGAAGGAGGCAGGGACTTTCTTATCTAATGAATGGGATAGTCTCCTGTTCTAAATTCAATAAACCGATATTCCAGTTTGACATTAGGATCTTGTAATATTGTTGAGACTTGGTTATCATGCTTGGCTCTGTAGGATTCTGAGGCACTGATAAAATGGTGTTTTATAGATCTAGAAAGCAATTTATAGATGCCATCTGGAGGCTGCTTTATGTGACAAGAGATGGCTACCTAACCAGCCAGGTATGTAAATGTCACATACCGCATTTATGTACATTCTATTTAATGTTTTAGGACAATGGGGAGTGCATACAGATGTCAAAAATGGACATTACTAGAGATTTTCCATGAAACAAATATATATATGAGCGATTAAATGGGAGTTGCATTTTTGCTTGGAAATTATTTTGCAGCAATTGGTTAGATTATCTTGAACTGAAAGACTTTTTATCAATATGGTCCTTACACATAATTCTTAGAAAGCAACAATGAACACAGAGAAATAATAAATTTATGTGTCATTGCTGGTTTTATTTCTTTAGGTTAAAAACAACATTAAAAGTGACATCCTCCTGACATATCATTATTAATAAGACTTTGCATATAATATTTTTAGAAGAATTTCTTTCCTTAGATGTTACATCAGCTGTGGTAGGCATCAGTGACATGACATTTCTGTGGTGTTATGCAAACATAAAATAGACTGGAATTAGTCCTTTTACTATACAATTTGAATTTATTTCTCATTCAGATTCTATTTCCATGATTTCTGTTTTGAAGCACACCTACTTGTAGAATATTACTAACAACTGATAGGATTGTTACAATGTCAAGAATCTTAAAATCACAAAATAATTTTTTATGATGACCAGGAAATGTTATAAATTATTAGATCTCACCATAAATGTAATTAGTGACACATTCTTTTAATTTCAAGTAAGTAAAATGGCCTAATGATTGCATAGTATAAAATAAAATATAAAAGCGATACTAGAGGACAAAACTAATTTAATGAATTAGGGTATATCTTTCAAGAAAAGACAGCAAAAGCTATTATGCAGAAACATCACACTCGATAGTACTTTTAGAAAATTTTGTAAAAGAAAAAAAATCCTGAAAAATAGAAGCATAAGGCAATTAGAAATTCATTAAGATGGATATCAAAAGAAGTCAACATGCTCCTGCCTCTGATAATGGTATCACATGGACTTGGTGACCTGAGAAAGAAATTCTCAGGTATGCTCTTAATTACATTTTATGGTTTTTTATGGTTTCTAGTTTTCTGAGTTGTCTAATTCTGTTAAATCTGTATCAGCAACATTGGGCCCCTATTTAGTACACGTAATTTTAATTCAACTTTTTTTTTCTTTTGGACACGTATATGTAAGGATAATTTCAGAAGTATCCTGCAATGGTTGCCAAGGCACAGGTCCTATCTTTCAAGCAGTTTACAGTATAGTGGGGAAGAGGGGGAAGAGGAGTGGTAAAAACACAAACTACCTTCCCATGTAAATGTCCTACTTGTCTTCATTAACCAATATCTGCATGACCCCACACATCAACTTCATCTTCAGCTCTGCAGGACTAGATATTTGATAGCTACTACTTTCCCAATGCAAACTTCTTCCTGTATCCTGTCACATTTTTGTTTGCTTGCTTCTATTTTTATTTTTTGTTTGTTTGTTTGTGTTTTGTGTTTTTAGAGACAGGGTCTCAGTCTGTCACTCAGGCTGGAGTGCACTGGCACAGTAATAGTTCGCTGCAGCCTAGAACTTCTGGGCATAAGCCCTCCTCTTGCATCAACCTCCTAAGTGGCTAGAACTACGGTCATGTGCCATCACATCTGGCTAATTTTTAAACTTTTTTCTGTAGAGACAGGGTCTCGCTATGTTGCACAGGCTAGTCTGGAACTCATGGGCACAAGCAATCCACCCACCTCAGCATCCCTAAATGCTGCGATTACAGGCATGAGCCACCTTGCCCAGCCTGTTTTTTGTTTTTCATATATTTCTCAGTCACACTCACTGAGTCTTACTTGTCCCCTATTCTCTTATATTTCATTACTTTTTAATATTCTGTTCAGATAACATCTCTTAGCTGGTGCCATACACTTAAAACGTAGTTTGATCTATTCCCAAGAATTTAACATTGCCAGTGTTCTAATGACTCCTAAAGCTACATTCTTCTGCTTATCTATACTCACAATTTCAGATCTATATCCTGATAAATATCACTTGCATTTTTCAAAGATACCTTAAATGCAGCATGTTTTAACCAGAATCAGTCCCATGAAAATGTGTTGCTCTTTCCACTTTTCCCAGTTTGGCAAATAGCATCACTTTTTCCCCACCCTCTCAGGTAGGTATCCTTGGTATCTCTCACTGTTCTCCATAGCCTTATTCATATTTCTGCTTATCAAATTCCTACTTTCCTACCCCTCAAAGCATGGATATGGTTTTTTATAACCCCCACTCACATCCTCCTCTACCTCTTGCAGCATATAATGTCTCTCCATATGGTGCCTCTCATGCCTTTACTGTTAAACATCTAATCTGTACAAGCCATTCTTTAAACGCTTAGCAAACGGAGCCTGTGTCATTCACCTCCGAGTCCTTCATAAAAATTTGCATAAAGTAAATGCTCAACAAATGGTCATTGAATTTTACTCAGTGGATTCTTATAATAGGCTACATTCCCTGTTCACTATATACAATTTCAGCTATAGCTGCTATGACCTTTGGCTACAGATGCTGCCTTGGTGAAATGTGGCCTCATAAGGAACTGAAACAATGGGCACAATTTAGCACTGGGCACTAGAGCTCAGAGGAATGCAACCTCAGAAGTGCCTATCACTTTCAGATCATGTATGGCGTCTTAACTACTTCATTAATGTAGACACTGAGCATTGCGGAGAAGAAATAAAAGTCATGAAATACAGATTGTCAAGCAGAAATAAGACAGAAAGTTTTTAAATAGCTGGGTACTATTCTATTGTCTGTTTACTCCCCAAACATGGCACTAATCAGAGATTTTATTTAAATGTATAGTATCAAAATTTTATTTCCTTTAAGATTATCATATTTTAGTAGTTGAAACCCTGTTCTAGAGGAGGCATTTACATTTGCATGCATTTCAGATTTTTCCTTATTCTTATAATGAACTTGCAATTATATTTTCTGGATAATAATGAGAAGGCATACATGATAATGAGACTTAATGCCAAAAAAATCTACCTGCATAAATTAAGAAAAATTTATCAGAGACAGGATTTAAAAACAAAGCAACCTATTGTCTATATTTCTGTATAAAGGGATTGTAATATAAATACCTGTATGCCTAGCTTGAATCTTGAATTAACAATTACAAAAACAATTTGCAACCGCCACAAAATAAATGAGTTTTTTTTTTTTTAAATAAAGGTAATGTAATCCAATCTACTCTATTCTAATGTAATTTAATCATCTATTTAATTTGAGTAATACAACTGGTCTTCTGAAAAGAAATATCAATAACATCAAAGGATTATTTACAGGTTTTTATTAAGTTTAAAATGCCTTATTTACAGCACATACATTTTTAGTAATTATCCATGTTTATAATCAGAGAGAAAAGGAGGACATAAAATTAATCAATTTTTAGTTTAGATCTGGATTTAGCTTCTGCCACCAATTTCATTAATGCTAAATTTCAGAGTTTTTGCACTAATTGTGTTTAATATTTAAAAAATGAAAAAAGGAAAAAGAAAGGTATTAAAAGGGAACAGTAACTTTATTAGAAAAACAGAACAAATAATCTGAGCTTATTTGGCTTCAAATGAAGCCTCCAAGCCAATATAATAATTGTTTTCAAATATATCAAAAATGAGTAAAGGGAGAGGATGTGTGGGAAAAAACATTGCAAGATCTTTTTCCTGTTTAAAATTTTATGTATAAAATAAAAAATTTTCAAAACAGGCTTTTATAATTGTTTCTTCTGTATAATTTTCCTTCCCTCCCCTGTATCTCACAGCACTCTGAACTTCTCTAATGCACTTACTACTTTCTTCATTATACTTAATTTACTGTGATCAAGGTTGTAGCTCCCAAACATAAAAACTTCCATCTTAAAGGCAGAGATTCTTTCTCATCTCCTTAAATTTCCTCAGAAAGCCTTGGTCATATTTTATTTTCAGTATTGGTTTGTTGAATCAAAATGAATAAGCAGAACTTTGACACTATATATTTGGCCCCTGAAAGGAGATAAACCTATTGTTTTACTTTGCTTTATTTGCAAGGCAAAAAATACTTATTAAACCTGCAAGAGAAGAGACAGGAATGCAGAGTGTTTTACCTTAGAAGAGGAATATCGAGATAAAATGGTTTGTCAGTAAGTGGGCTAACCTCCCTCCGAGATTGAGTACTAACTTGCTGGGTGGGGTGGCTCATGTCTATAACCCTAGCACTTGGGGAGAGGCCAAGACAGGTGGATCACTTGATTCCAGGAGTTTGAGACCAGGCTTGGTAACATAGTAAGACTTTGTCTCAACAAAAAATTAAGAAAATTACAGGCATGGTGGTGCATGCCTGTAATCTCAGCTACTTAGTAGACTAAGGTGGAAGAATTGCTTGAACCTGGGATGTCCAGGCTGCAGTGAGCCAAGAATGTGACACTGCACTCCACCCAGGGCCACAGAGCAAAACCATACATCCAAAATTAAAAAAAAAAAAAAGTACTATACTTAAATATACTTAAACAGTCAACACCCAGAGTTCCTTTAACAAATAGAAGATGGTTAAGAGTGCTATGGTTTAGCAGCGCAATTTTTTTAATACATAAATCCAGCATCAACATCAACATTCAGAGTTCCTTTACCAAACTTATATAGAGAGATTATATATAATCTATAAGCAAAACATATATAATCTATAAGCAAAACATATATAATCTATAAGCAAAAAAATAACATCAACATCTATATTATATATCACCTATATGATATATAATCTATACCTCATATAAATTATATATAATCTATAAGCAAAAAGAATTCAGATGAAAGACTGAGATAATACCTTAACTCAATAAGGAACTAAACAATCAAATGTATTATCAACAAGTGCTGAAATGCTTTGGGAGTCTGGAGGCAACAAAACCACTAACTGACCTCCAAAGTCACTTTGAGATTTGATGAATGCTCCTTCACTCTCCAAATGTCATAAGGGTTCAGCAAAGTGATCTAGCTTAAAAGGACCAAATTAGAATAAAAAGAGTAATACGGCCACACATTTTATCAGAGTTAATTGTTAATATTGAGATTAGAAAAGAAAGGACTGCGAATCTGGTAAGCATACTAATTGGACATTATTTTCAGCTCATTTTCCCTGTTAATGTGAATAATTTGCAGCAGTTTAAAGGGAAATGTACACCTGAAGAATAATGCATTCAATTAGAACACCTAAAAAAAAAAGAGAGAAGAATGTAGAAAGATCATAATGACATCTCCCTACCTTGAATGACACAGAATACAAAGAGTGGGTTGATTTGATGCCAAGAGATAGAAGACTTCCTTCCCCTCATTTTAGGTCCTTGCTATACTTATAAGTCACTACCCATGAGGACTACCCTATGGTATTTCACACACACACCCAAACAAAAAACTAACTGGAAAATATTTAAGGTGAGAATATAATTTACACTGATAATTTTAAAATGCTAAATTTGTGAGGTTGAGCATTTTATGAAGTCCTCATGATTAAGTCATTGTATTATATCAAATCTACCTAAAGTTAATAATGATCCCAACTATTTATTACTGTTATTTAAATACTAATGGTAAAACATTTTATCAATTAATAGTGAAATTACAATTCATCACTTATTTATAAATTATTACATATTATTGTCTCATTTAGTTTCTTCTGCAATCCTAAAATTTGCAGTTGAACAAAGTGAAGCTAAGAGGGGTTAGAAAAGAATACTCCTTGTAGGAGGTGAAGCCAGGTTCAAATGGATGTCATCAGATTTCAAAGCTTGTTTTGTAAACCAGTAGATTCTACTCACAGCACTGCCAATTCTTCTCTAGGACAGTACCCTCTTTAGATTCTTTTAGATTGTACTGCTCATTTTACTAGACAGCTGAGAAGCCCCTAAAGGACACATTTTAATTAGTTGAGATCTGGCTGAGAGACAGTCTTTATAATCCCTCTCTGTATATATTACTATGAAGAAATCGAAGTGAATAGCACCCTCCCAAAGTGGTGGCATACAGACCTTTGGGGGATACTTGGGCGGTAGACAGCCATGCCACAATTGACAGGAAAAGTGAAAAAAATGCAGCCTCAGTCAGACACGGGCAACTAGCGTGACACAGAGAAATGTAAAACCCTAAAAATGAATCCTTAGCAAGGTATGTTAGTCTCTTCCTGCAGAAGAAAAAAAAATAAGGTATTAGAGGCATTTGTTTTTGAGGTATTGTATTGTGCTTATGCCATTAAAAAATATATGAGGATCTTTGGAAAGATGGAAGAGGCAGCCTTGCTAGAGACATCTGTTCAATCTACATGAAATCAACACAAACCAATAACTAGACAACTTTGCCTGACAGATGTCTGCTTGAAAACTGGGTAGACAGGTGAAAAGGAGAGAGAAAGAAAAGGTTCTTTATCTCATACAAAGGTAAGCATTTAGTCTCTATTCTCATTATCCTTGGCCATATAAAAATGGTGGCTCATTCCCAATGATATTTCAAATACACTGCCATTTACTTCTAAAAGCAATATGAAATGTCCATGGTTTACTGCAGCATGTTTTACTCATCAAGGACAAGGTATAAAGCATGTAGAATGAAGAGATGAAGGAAACAGAATGAATAAAACAGTTGAGCTTAACTCATGTAAGTGTGAAAAAGTAAGAAAGTTTGGAAAGTTAAAAAATATTCGTGTACAAAAGTCACAAGTTTTTTTTTAAAGATCTGAAAAAATAAAGAGGCATAAAATGAATTAGGGATTTAGGGTAGCCAAATTTCTAACCTCACTTAACTTTTTAAAAACCTGTTTTATGGATCATCTGCTGTTTTTTTAAAATTTATTTTTTATGTTGTAATATTTAAGACAGTCTACCTAAAGAAAAGTATGTATCGTTTCCTACCATTTTTTTCATCTGTACTCTGACCAAAGTTGGCATTGTTAAGTAAGAAAATAAATGTGCTTATTCTATTGTGAAATGGCTTAATCATAATTAATGTATTTCAAGGACATTGTACCCAGGGCTTGATCAGATCTACAGATGGCTCTTGCATAATGGGATCTGAAGGAGGCTCCAGAACTATCTCCCACACTGGCCTACTATGGTGTCAACATTTCCACCCACCTGGCCAGAAATCACACCATTGGATTCAGTTCACTCCTTTGCTTTATGTAATAAACGCATTTCCTACTATTAAAATGCACTTGCTGTGTGGGTTTAGAGAAAGGCCCTAGAATCACTACTGCCCTGCCCACATTAACATATATTGTCAAATTCACTCACTAACTCACTATGAGACAAATTTCTTTATTCTATAGAGTAGAAGACTCAATAAAAATTTAATGTAAGAGAATCACAGATTGTTGGACCTGGGACTGAGTAAGATTTCAGAGTTGATTTATTAATTTCCTTAGACAGTGGCCTATCAAATGCTGATGGCAAAAGTGAGAATCCAAGCGAGGTGTTTTCCATATCTGAGCTTACTAAACGCTAATTATCATAAAGCCTTACATAGCAAAGGCAAACTGGCTTTGCAAAGATAATTTAGAGGGGGCTTTGGAAAGAACAAGTAGACCATGGGGCATGAAGGTAGGGGCCAGGATAGATACAATAGACCCAAATAAATTGTTATATACCAATCCAAGAGAAAGTCTGAAGACTACTGCATAATTAAAATAAGAGCAAACTCTTGCATAGTCAATGTTGCCTTGAATGGTATGGTGATTTTAAGCCTATTGTTTTTACTTGAATTATCAATTCATTGCAATATGCATCAATTATTCTAACATTTCCATTATCAAATGCTTTTATTACCAACTTCCCACCATAAACTCTACATGAATTATTTTATTGCTAAATGTATTTTAATGAAATAACAACCAATTACCTCAATTTTTGATCAGATTGATATTAAAATATTAGCATGAAATTATAATGTTGATGATAATTAAAGGCAAATAAATATATAATAGTAATCTTCATCACAAATAAATATATAACTAATAAGGTTTTCTTAAAATATTTTTTAAATGGTGCAATTTCTATTATTACTTTCTTGGGACCTGAGGCATTCTATAGATTTGGAACTTTAAAATAGTGGGTCTCATTCTACATCATTCTGTATTATTAGATTCCAGTGGTAAGAAATTATGTTTATTCTTAAGGTATATTCTTTTTCCTTAGCTCATAAGAGAATAAAACCTTATTCTCCATTTGGCAGTAATGTGTTTTAAAATACAGCATAAAGCTTGTTAAACAGGGAGTTAACACACAGGCCCTTTGAATGAAATTGTATTTATCATACTACAGTACAGGAGGATGATAAAGCCTTTGTGAAACATACATTTTGCTTAAATTTACCTGTTTCATTTCCTTCCTTGCATTTGTGAAAACTTACTTTTATGATTAGCTATCCTAACTTATTCCTGGTTTGTGACATTGGAATTGTATTTGTTACTGCACTGGAAATTATCTTCTAAACTTTACAATGAAAGTTAATCTCAAACACTTAGTAATAGCTGCATTGTTTCACATAGGTTAAAATGCGAGGAAAATATTTGAGGTAATAATAATAATTAGGAACTAGCACAGCATCCAAAATGATATTTTAATGGAAAGTCCAAATGAAAATCCAATACAAATCCTGATTAAAACCTAGCCAAGCAAAAAACTACAGATTACCTGGATTCCAGTTAAATGTGAAAAATGAGTACTTGACAGGTTTCAATTCCAATTCTATTTATGTCAGAATGATCCATTGATATTGAAGATGAAATTACCAGAATTTAAGCAATACAATTGTACTTTATGGCTAGATGATTAGTGTGAAAACATGGACCCAACAAAATCGTTACTCAAATGTCAACTGCTACATTTAGATCACCTAAAGGGTATCACTTCTCATTTTGTCATTACCTATAGATCAAGGCTAACATGAATCACAGCTAGTAGATGACAAATGGTCACATAAATCTGAATTTCAAGTGTTGGTCACATACAAAATCAGGAAAAATCCATTACATTATCACGGCCCTTGCTGTTGAACAGGCCTAAAAAGTGATTATAAAAAAAATTAAAAGTCTTTTTTGGAACTGTTTCTAAACATACTTTCTAGTTTATTAACAAGCTCACTGTTAAGTTTTCCATGGCATGTATGATTCCTAAAAGGTAACTGATATGTGTGTGAAATTATTCATCATTCTTTCTTATTTTAAGGGTGGTGAATCCCCATAAACTCATAAAACAGAAACTAACATTAAAAAATGACTAAAATATCAGTGGTACAAAGTCCTTTTTTAATAAAGCTGATATCAAAAAATATTTAATTATATATTCTGTTCTTTACAGTAAGAATAAGCACTTCTTAAAACAAATAAAATTATATGTTCTCATGAAAAGATAATCTCAGATGTAGTAATACCCATAAATTAAAATAATCTTGCCTTTCTAGGTATGCCCTATTTATCTATCATCTATATTGTAATTACATATATTGTAATTACATATATGTAATTATATGTAACATATTAAAATTATGTGATTAACATATATGTAATTACATGTAACATATATGTAACCACAGAATTTTTAGTTCAATTTCTTTTTCAAAATAATTTTAAACATACCTGCCTTAAATATATATTCATCAGCATTGCAATTTATACCAAAATTGTATACCCATTTAATAAATTACTAAAAAAGTTAATTCTTAAAACCCACACCAGACTCCCAACCACATAAGCACGCATCACCATACACACAGATAAGCATGCCTTTGTAGTCATAAGGCAAAATGCCATTTTAACCCTAAAGAATTAATCAAGAGGGACATCAATCATCATATCTTCTTACCGAGAACAATGTAAATAAATAATTATTTAGCATAATATAATTTAGCAACACTTTCACTTAGGGACATTTATGATATGTTATATTCTAATGTTGAATTTTAATATTCATAGGAAAACTTCCAGAAGAAAATCGGGTTTTTTTCTGCATTAATATGCTCTACTTGCGTATATATCAGCACTAAAGAAACTGGAATATAACAAAAAGTTAGTTCGCTTGGGGGGTTGAGATGATAAAAGACATAAATCCATTTCAAGTTTTACTATGGATAAAACGTGTGTGATTCCTCTTCCTCTCTCTATATAACCGTATCTTTCTTCATATTTGAAAGAATAATGAAGTTAGGATGAATTTTACCATTCCATTATTTGACACAAACTTATTCCTCAGGCATTTACTTATGACTCAAATTCCAGAAAATAAATTGCCAAATTATCTCTGGGAATATAGACAAAAGTGAAAAGTTTTATAAGTGTTATTTGCAATCTAAATGTATAACTTAAAGGAAAGTGTATAAAAGGCCAATTGTGGTAATTATGAGAATCACCTCACAACAGGATAAAAATATGGAGTATTATGATTATTTTCCTTCCTTTCTCTCACATAAAAATGAAAAAAAAATCTTATATTTAAATAAGAGGGAAATTCTAATAGCATTTATTGTATACTATGGAGAACAAAGTAGTGCTGTTCTCCTTTGACTCTATTCAGTGATCACTGGAAGGGAGAGGTTTGAAACACTTTTCTAAACATCTAAGACAAGAAAAGGTAGAGCAAGGTGTGTTTCTTTCATTTCTTTTCACGAAGACTGGACAGTTGCAATTGAAGAAATAGTTGCATGACAAAATGAATAGAAGAAAATAATCAGACAAGGCCTTTCTTGGTTACTATTGTTTAGGTATTCTGTGCTTATTTAGCTTTCTTCATGGTGTGCCCTGTTCTAATTTATTTCTAAGTGCGTTTATTTCTGACAGGATGTTTTAAAATGATGGTGCAATTTGGGTGAATTTTATCTACAGAGTTATGATCCTTTATTTGGCATTTCTGTATTTTAGCAAATATTTATCAGTTAAAGTACAATGGTTTTAGTGTCAGCTATTTTATTTCGGGTTTAGACTGACCTTCACAAGTCTACTTATTACAGCTCACTAGCGTGATTATGTGTGTGGATGTTGTGTTTGTCCCTACCATTTTCCATATGCTCTGCCTCACCAACACTGCCATCCGGCGTGGTCCTTTCATAGTTGTCCTCTGGGAGTGGAAGGGCACCCAGTCTTGGCCCTGATGAACTCTTACTGCTTGGTGTTTCTGACTCCTCCAGCCCGCTGTCATAGCAACTCTGCAGTGACCCCTGATGTGGGTCCTGAGGCTGACTCACAACAGAAAACGTCACTCTACGAAATGGCTGCAAAAGAAAAGATTCTGAATGTCACTACGATGTAAGATTGTAAATGATCTTATTTAAAAAATACATAAATTACATACATTAAGGTCTACTGGTAACTAATCCAACACAAAATGAATAGATATGTTGAAATCAATTTAGTTAACTATGTATTATCTAAGGCAATATCTAGAGCTTAGATTTTATTATGGAGAAAATGAAAATTCCCTTTCAGAAACAGAGATTTAAAAAACAGCAATTTCACTAAAACATACATTTAAATCTGATATGTTAGTTTCACATGTTCAACTTTTTTCTATTCCATAGTCTTCACTTCAGATATGCTTTTCACAAATAAGACTCTAAAAAAACAAGTTCAATGATTTGTGAAGACAGTAAATACTGAACTAATCCATTACAAGAAGACTCAATTTATACATACTTTGTCTATATAATTCAAAGTCATAAAATCAAATAGGTTGGCAGTTGACTTAAACTATTCAAAGTACAGCTGACAAATAGAAATTTAGATGCAGTGCTAAGAAATAGAAATATGTTTATTACATCAATCCTATAAAAATATTGCCTATTGACCTTGAAATTGTAAGTCATACTAAGACAATAAAGTTTCCCTAAAAAGTGAGTAGAAAATAAACTATAAAGATTAATTGCATGTGCTTAATATTACTGTTTGTGATTTTTTCAAAAATGTAAAATCATGTATAGTCTTTAATTTATATTTTTAAAATTTTATGAAACTTTATCCAATTGAACCCCACAATTTACTATGTTACTGACAATGGCTAGACTGAAGATTTACTATGAAAGTTATTTGCAGATTATCGTAGATAACCACAAAATAAAATGGAAAAAAAAAAAGGCTCATTAAAGGAACAATTCAATGCCATGTATTGACAGTGGTACACAAGAATAATACTTTGGAAAAACATATAAAAACGTCCTGTAATGTCCGTTTGAGATTATCCTTGGCAATAGTTGTATCCATAAAGCTGTTGCATGAATTTGAAATGTCAGAAGTGTACATATTTTTAAACTTATAACTCAGGCTGTTTCCTTTTACTACAAAGTATAAAATTAATGTTGCTAGAAAATAGTGAAAGGTTACAAAACCATTTTTTGCGCCTTTATAATTTGAATGTTCATAATACAAATTACTAATCACTATGTGAACTAGTAGAATTTTAGAAATATTAAGGATTATTTGCACATGGTACGTTATTAATGGGAAAGCTAAGAAGAGTTATAACATCTCCCCCTAATTTATAAAGTCACTTTGCTAAAGACAAACACATGCTTCCATAAAATTTCCCTTTATTTTGTCATAGATGGAAGACTAGCTGAAAATACTGTGAATTACTGGTATTTTTAACCCAGTAGCTCACTTTTCATGTTCTTATTTGACATGTACAATCTTTACAAAATCTCCCTTTTTATTCTAATTCAAAGTCAAATAGCTGAATCTTAATATGAAAAGAAAACATTTAATTCATGTTCTCTTCTTTATAATGTTTTACTTAGTAGGAACTGCGGTATTTAAAAACAATTATAAATATTTTCATATGCATAGTATATATGTTATGGATTTAAATTTACTGACAATAAATTTCCTAGAAATATTATTCTTATTTCACTAAAAATTATATTTCTTTACAGTAATATAATTGTGATATTTTATCTCATATTAAAAAAACAACTTGTATTCTCATTTTTAACCTGTGTGTACATATTTTCTTTTCTCCCACCCCTCGCCCACCCAACTTCTTATGCCCAGCTGCCTGCAAACTGTCTTAGACTGTTTAATGTTTTTGGTCTCACCTTGGAAATGAAACCACTGGCAGTCTCCTAAAACCACATTGCTCTACACAGAGAAAATATTCAGTAAATACTTCTGAAAAATAAAATTTTAATGACAATGTTGAATTTAGCCAAGACCTTCAAGGGTCAGGCAGACATATTATCATTTAAAAACATAGCGATGGGTTTAAAAGCAAACAAACATATAAAAAGAGCAAAGAGGGTCAACTGCTGTTCTTAATTCTATTTTAATGACTTTCAAATCTTTTAGAATATTTTTGTTGACAGAAGAAGAAAGTTCAAAATGAATACAAAAATACAAATGATATACCAATAAATTTAGAAACAGAAAATAAGAAATGATGAGAAATGGGGCTTCATTTTGATATAAAAGTAGGAAAAAAAAAGAGTGCTATTTGGGTGAAGCAGATAATTTTGGAATCTGTGCTTACACGTTTATTCCACCAAAAGTAGATAAGCTAGCAGAGAAATAGGTGACAGCTATGTTTTTAATAAAAAATGTTAACAATAAAATAATGATTTTTCTGTAATGTATTATATAATGACTGCTATAAACCTATGCATTTTGTTTTCTTGATTTCCTACCCTATGTTGACTGTTTATATTTTAATCTCCATAAATTATTTTAGAAGAATGTCATAATTTAATAATATTTAGATCTATTTATATATTAGAAACTACTTAGATTCATCAGTTCTTCCTTTCTTGTATGCTTTGCATTAAAATAATATCTGAATAAATAAAAACATAACTCACAATAAATATTCAAATTAAAATGTATTACACAATGGAATTATAATACATCGCACCTATGATTTTAATCCACATTTAAAATATTCCATTAAAATGCTACAGTAGGACATCAGCATTATATCACTAGCTCTTCAAATTCATTCTGATAATTTTGAATAGCAAATTTTTGTGGCCAAGTATTTAAGTTGGCAATGTGAACCAAATTAATATGGAAGCCTAAATTCTAAAAGATACCCCATTGATGCAAGTGTTAAGATTTAATTTCAATAGTATGTCAGACATACAGAGTTAGATGAAATGAGAGAAAGAGAGACAGAAAGAGAAAGAGTGAGAGAGAGGCAGACAACTGAGTCTTGAAAAGATGGTCCAGTTTTACAGCAAAGTTTATGACGCCATATTCATATTATTTATATACTCCGGAAAGATTGACTAAAGCAGAAATGTAAAGCAGAGTGTCAACTCCTGGCAGAGAGAATAAATTTGCATTATATATGTGACTGTCATTTTGTTAATTACTGATACTCCAAAGTAGAATAGTTTAAGTGATAATTCTTCAACCTAGATGTGCCTTAGTATCACCCAGAGAACTTGTGAAAAAGCCAAATGCCAATATTTGGTCCCAACCTAAATTCAATGAATCAGTATTCAGGGCAGGACCAGAGATCTGGAATATATAAAAATCTCCCCAGCTGATGAGAGCAGAAATGAATGAAAAATCTTACTGTGAGGAAGAACATAGAGGTTCAATAAAGCAATGTGCTTCAGGAAGATAGCTGGTTCTCAAAGTGTATAAAATAGTTTCCAGGGAGAGTCAGTAGACTCCTGGTTCCATCTTGAGACTTAAAAGTATGGTCATAAAGACCTTTTGTAAATTGCAGTGTCTGAACTTTGTATTTCTCTCTGGGGTGATAAATGATTTTGTGTTCTATAAATGTAAATTGTTCTATCAAATAGAAGAGAAAGCAAAAGAAAACAACAGAGCTTGAGGAAGAGCTAGTCTACCAGCTCTTTGAAACTGTGAAGACAAGCTGGAGACTTGAATAAGTATTGCAAGATGGAGATCTTAAAGAAAATGATTCCAAAAATTGTGGATGGGGTGTGTGAAAGAATTAAAACCAGAGAGTGAAAAATCAAAGAATTTCTTTAGGTAAGTTAATGATCTAAATAAAAGGCCAATAATGAAGACATTTTCTGACACTTCCTTATGAAAGAGGAGGATGAAATGCTGAAGGCAAAAGATTATGCTAGGAAAGAAAGTATAATGAAAGATTTACCTAGCAGGAGGTAAGGCTGAGAGAAGGTGGTGGCAGTGAAAATGGACAGCAAGGTCATTATAAAGAAAGCCCACGTAGCTGATTGGATTGAGTCATTAATTCACTAGACCTGCATTTATTTTATGCCCATTATGTTCCAGCGTTTTGAGGATAGTCCAATAATGATTCTACACATTTAAGAAACTCAAAACCTTCTAAGTCTATAAAGGAACAGAAAACATAATGTGATCAAGTTTCCAGTAAAATGGAGGCATAAAGAAGATGCTGTAACACTTACTCAGAAATTTAGGGCAGGCACTGCAAAGGCAGTGGTATGTGGGTTGAGACCTCTAAAAGAAATTTGATAGGTAATATATATTTCGGGGTTGATTATAGATTCCATATTGCTAGAAGCAAACAATTTTTTATAAAAAGGGTAACAATGAAAAGCAGGTCACTTTCAAAACTCAGATGTCAAGGAAGCAGAACATTTCCAGAAAGGAAATCTATATGATCAAAAGCATCAGAAACATCAAGAAGGACGCTGACTACCACATGCCCATTGGATTTAGCCTTCAGAAGGCCACTGTGGCTATAGTGTCTCTAAACTCTGGGAAACAATTGTAGATTGGACCAAAAGAAGCAGAAGATTGACTTGTCAATAAATGGAGAAATAAAGAAAGTGGGAAAAGTACTACTACTCTTAAAAATATGACAAAAGAGAAAAATAGAGTCAAATTTAAAACAATGATTGAGGTAAAGCTTCTGATTTATTTATCTACATTTTTGTCTTTCTTCGTTGGCACTGAAGAAAGTTTGCTTTAAGATTAATATTTGGAGATGTAAGCAAAAAGGGGTGCTCAACAACAGAAGGTGGGAGCAGAATGGAAGAGAGCAAAGACAAGCTAACTAGAATTAAGAGGGAAATAACATCAAAAGAATTACAAAAACAGTAGAATATTTTGAGGAATTTTCTTAATGGGGGCTTGTGTGCATGTGTGTTTAATGGGAAAGAAAAAGCACACAAAAAATAACAGAACAAGAAAAGAATTCTATTCCAAGAAACCGTATGTGACCTTGAGGACTAGGTTAGTTGATCTTTGGTTCTTGTGCCTTAGGGTCAGAGTCTATAAAATGGAGATAATACCTGCCCCTTGCTAACTTAAGTTGTCTCAGAAT